TCCAACACATAACAATAAACAATTCATCTCATGGCAATACACTCCAACACATAACACTAAACACTTCATCTCATGGCACTGAACACTCCAACACATAACACTAAACACTCCATCTCATCGCACTAAACACTCCATCTCATGGCACCAAACACTCAACCACATAACACTGAACACTCCATCTCATGGCACTAAACACTCCAACACATAACACTAAACACTTCATCTCATGGCACTAAACACTCCAACACATAACACTAAACACTTCATCTCATGGCACTAAACACTCCATCTCATGGCACTACACACTCCAACACATAACACTAAACACTTCATCTCATGGCACTAAACATTCCAACACATAACACTAAACACTCCATCTCATGGCATTAAACACTCCATCACATGGCACTACACACTCCAACACATAACACTAAACACTTCATCTCATGGCACTAAACACTCCACCACATAACACTAAACACTCCATCTCATTGCACTAAACACTCCATCTCATGGCACCAAAACACTCCATCTCATGGCACTAAACACTCCATCTCATGGCACTAAACACTCCATCTCATGGCACTACACACTCCAACACATAACACTAAACACTTCATCTCATGGCACTAAACACTCCAACACATAACACTAAACACTCCATCTCATGGCATTAAACACTCCATCACATGGCACTACACACTGACACATAACACTAAAACACTCCATCTCATGGCACTAAACACTCCACCACATAACACTAAACACTCCATCTCATGGCACTAAACACTCCATCTGATGGCACAAAACACTCCACCACATGGCACTAAACACTTCATCACATGGCACTAAACACTCCATCATATGGCACTAAACACTCCATCATATGGCACTAAACACTCCAACACATAACACTAAACACTTCATCTCATGGCACTAAACACTCCATCTCATGGCACTAAACACTCAATCATTTGGCCCTTAATGCTGCATCAAACACACTACCCTACAATATGGTCTGACACACTACTGAATAAATTCTCTTCCCAGGTAATATTATTCATCACACAATCAGAATAACCTGACAGGTTAGAAAAATGTTTTCATCGTACCTTTTCTGACCCTAAGTCACATGTAGCAAAGGAAGCACGACTAAATGCCTCTAAATGTTCATAATCATTATGTGAATCCCAATATGTACCACTACATGAATCAATATCTTCATTATAACCTTCATCTTTACTCTCTGTAAGCTCTATACCAAGTTCCTAATGAAAAACATGAAAACATCAATTATTCATTATGACATAAAACACACAATATAATGTTGCAGCAATGTGTCATCTCCACTCTATGTATACCCCATGGACTCACCAATTTAACAATCCTTTCTAGCTCTACATATGCTTGTTTTGTTCCCCTTAATGGATTCTCATAGTTATCAATCACTTTGGCTTTACCACTCTCTTTCACCATATTCTTCAATTGCTGTGCTTCCCCTTGGCGTGATTTACACCTATACAAAAGACGATGTTCTTTTTTAATTAGTTTCAATGTAATTGGATCTTATAAAAATATTTTATTGTCATTAAAAAACATACATATGAAAAGCTTGCCAATTGGGAATCTAGACATTAAATGATGAATGAGGGTTAAACTAATGATCGACTCACTGCCTGACAATCTTTTCTTTCCATGGCAAATGAGAATAAAAGTCCTGAAACAACCAAAAACTTGGTGGGAAATACTGTAAAATTTGTATTAGAAGCTGCATCCCTAATAGAAGCCGCACTCATTCTTTTTGAACGATTGAGAACTAAACATTCACCATTTCTCATATGTGTAGATGCTCTAATAGAAGCCACATCCCTTCTATTGCATTGTACCATTTTAATGGAAGCCGCGGCTTTTAATACAGATTTTACAGTACAAGCTAAAATTTAGGTGGAAAAAAATCTTACCAAAAATTAACAATAGGATCATCATAATTACATGAAAAAATTAATAAATATTCATATTCCTCAAATAATAATACATGTACTGTATTAATGTTCCTTTAAAAAGAATGAATTGTATAAAAGTTCCCAAATAGTACAGGAATATAAAAACAAGCAGCCTGTCGGCTGAGATAGCTCCGCTGTTAGCAATGCACATTGCAATTAAAGAGCAGAAGATATCATTAGAAAGTATGTATAGTATCAAAGCAACAGGACTTGCTGTTTTCAACAAGAATTCAAAAATATCACTTTTCACCAAAAATAATCATCAAAATTAGATAATTGAAGATATCACCATGAAATTAACAAATCTGAAAGAGGTCCACATGTAGTACCTATATATGTAATATAAAAGCAATCAGACTTGCAGTTTTCAACAAGAAGTCCAAAATATCACTTTTTACTAAAATTTTTTAAAATATTCACTAAAATTAGAGAATTAAAGATATCATCATGAAATGAACAAATCTGAAAGAGGTTCACATTTAGTACTTATATATGTAATATCAAAGCAATTGGACTTGCGGTTTTTAACAAGAAGTTGAAAATATCACTTTTTTTCAAAAATGACAAAATTATTCACTAAAATTAGAGAATTGAAGATATTACAAAATGAACAAATCTGAGAGAGGTCCACATGTAGTACCTATATATGTAATGTATGTATATATCGAAGCAATTGGATTTGCGGTTTTTAACAAGAAGTTGAAAATATCACTTTTTTTCAAAAATGACAAAAATATTCACTAAAATTAGAGAATTGAAGATATCATCATGAAATGAACAAATCTGAGAGAGGTCCACCCAAGGTACATATACACCAAGTATCAAAGTATTCAGGCTTGTAGTTTTCAAGAAGAAGTCGAAAAAGTAAAACATTGACACGGACGACAACAGACAATCACTCATATGATAAGCTCCGCTCGACAAAGTCGACAGCGGAGCTAAAAAGTCATCCAAGATCATAGATATATGCTTGATCAATTTAGCCTTATGTTGTATAGTTTACTTACCCCCGATATGATGGATT